AGAAGTACTGCAGTAATACGCTAAGCAATATCGCCCGTTTAACTCATCTCGTACGTTTTTACGTACGTTTGCCGTCTCCTCACTGAACTCTGGGTAAACAGTCACACCCCCCGCGGACAACATGTGTGTTTAGAAACATAACGTATGTAATGTAAACAACACATATGTGTGTGTGTGTTGAGGCACTGGGGGGCAGCAGATGTACAGTATGTGCATGCAGTGGGGCAGCCAGAGTCCAGTCCCGACTCTACACAGTCTCTATTTCTATGTCAATATTGTTGCCATGGGACCAGAGCTGTTCCCAGCTGGGAGTCGGGTGCAGTGCCGCCTCCGGGGCAGGATTGTGGTGGGGGTTCGGCTAACTGCCCTGTGCCGCTCTCCTCTCTTCATCTCCACTAGTTACAATATACATTTACAAGTAGTTTGTGCACGGGATTTTAAATGGAAGCAGTAGCATCAGAATTAAAATGATAATAAGAAAAAACAACAACATCAAACTCGTTGTGTTTGGACAAAACAAGATGTCAATGTTTTCATCAGGATAATGATTGAATTATGGGGAAAATAATAATTTTGATGCTTTACATAAAGTGGACGTGATTTGGGTTTTTATACATTGACATACCAGGGATAAAGTATCAAAGTCTTGGTTTTCTAATGCATATTCAAATGAAATTATTATTTTTTTGAACTTTTTGTTTGATTTTTGGTCACTAATACATCACAGTCTCTGTTGTCTCCATCATGGTGACATCAAACTTCTTCACTTCCTCCTTCCCTGTAATGCACTAGTTCCCAGTATTTTTTTTGCTGCAGCGCCCCCTTTTATATAGACTTATGTACTGACCTCAACACATTTACAGCTAGTGATTAAAAAACCCCAACATTATTTTAATTTTGAGTTTTATTTTTGCAATTTTATCTATCAATTTTTCCATATACTGTAAGTAAACAGCTCTAATGATGATTAATCATGATTATTAATAACCAGAATTAATTGTGGTTAATCTGCAGCTACCTTGTGACCAATCAGATTAAACATACAAATCAATTCATGGCCCTCATACATAAATATATTAACAGTTTTATATTTTAGACAATAACCAATCAGAATCACGGTGTTGTTCAGGCCGGAGTTACAACAGTCTGAATGTGACACGGGTGACAACAGGGTGAGGTTTTCACATGATGGTCATGTGTCGTCCATAGGACTTCATTGTTCAGGGTCTGAGTTTGTCTGTCGGACACAGACGTGAACGACAGTCTGCTGCACCGACAGCATGACGCCTGAAGGGTGTCCCACTGAGGAGTCCATGTCACCTTAATATGGAACGATCAATAAAGGAGCTTAAAGTTCATGTGAATGACACAGTGGGATGGAAGTTAACGTGTCAGCTGCTAACTGGTGATCAAGATTGTTTTTTTTTTAATCTTGATAGCCAGTTAGCAGCTAGCAGCTAGCAGCTAACGTAACAAAGACGCATGTGTTTGACCTTCCAGCCCTGAGGCAGTGTGCTGGTGGTAAACACCACGGCACAGAGATGGACAGGATAAATGTATGCTGCAGGATTTAGTTTAGAAACACTGTTGTTCTGACATGAGCTCATGGAAATAGGAATTATTTCTTGTTTTTGTCTTTCCTCCAGCTGATTCCCAAAACAAACTTCCAGTTTTGGCTGAGATCCTCAAATTTAGAGTTGAAAAGATTTTTATTGGACAGATGTGTTTTAAATGATGCTCAGGTTTAACTGTAGAAACAAAGTGGTTTTAGAAGTAGTGACCGACATCTGTAGGGATTTTAGATTAGAAATAAACACATCGCATATCTGTAAAACTACTATTGATGAAGAAACTACCAGTCAATCAGAGGTTTGGAGAGACATTTGTCCTACAGTCAAGACAAGATCTTTAAAATTCCAGGACTCATTCCATTAAAATTTAAAACCTGTGCCCACTTCCTACTCCATTAAAATTAAAAACCCACTTCCTACCAGCCTGCGGTCCAGATCATTTTATTTTTTTCTTTTCCAGCACATCATCAGGAAAAAAAAGCCTTTTTTCAGTTTAATGAAAGTCATTTTTTTATCGTCCTTCAAATATTTTTTGCCATTTTCGCCCGTGTTCCTGTTTTCCCGGTCAGGTTTTTCTGTACTCGGAGTAAAAACACTATGTTGACTCTGTCGATCCTGACAGGTGCTGTTTTGGAAAAAGTTGCCACAGCTGTGTCTCTCTGACTTTACTTGGTTGGAATTTAAACTACAGTTTGCAGTAGTTACTTGTCAGATCACCGTTCTTAACCGATGCAGGCGTGGAATAAAAACTGTGACTGTCCAGAAGAACGGGAACAAATTGATTTGTGAAGCATTATTGATAATGGAGATGCTGCTGCTGCTGCTGCTGCTGCTGCTGCTCCAAAACAACATGTCCAGGCTGATGTTATTCAACCAGACGGCTGGAACGTTGCGTGAAATCTGTGTTTTATACTGTTTCTCTGTTGATGCTGGATTATTCAACATCACAGGAAAGTCACATCAGATGTTATGTTGAAATGTCTGACTTCACAACTTGATTAATGATCAAGACTCAGACTTTGTTTTTCAGTACAGACTCAAAAACTAATAACCAATAACAAATAACCAGGTTAACGACGAGTCAAATGATGTTTAAGTATTTTCTTGAAATGATAGGCAAATAATTAACAGATGATTCAATAATAAATAAATTAGAAATCGACTATTTTTCCCCACATTTCTATGGTAAGTATTAATGTTCTTTAACCCTGGTGAGTCAATATGAGTAAATACAATGATGTAAAATAACTGCACTTTGTGTCACTTCTGTGTGAAACCACTGTGGATAATCTCCACCAACTGTAACCGAGGCCTGACCACAGAATCATGTACGGAGCCGAAAATGTAAAAAAAAAAATTTCACCTCGCTGGTTTATTTTACACACTAAAAATATAGTCGTAAAAATGAGCTCTCGGACACGGTCAGTTTCACCCCCGTGTAGTGATTAGAACTAAAACACAAACACACAAACCAGGAAGCATTTACTGCATCAGGGCTTTAACCATGTCACTAACCCTGACCCTAACTCCTGTATGATGTCACTGATCACTGATCACCCAGTCACTGTGATCCTCCACTGTGTCTTCAGACTCCACTCACCTGCAGCTGCAGACAGGGCCACTCAGGGACCCTCTGACCTTTTCCCCCAAAAGCTGATCTGTGGTCTGCACAAGCAGGCAACTGAGCTGTGGCAGATGGAGAAGGGGGCCACCAGATCCTCACAGAACAAAGTGCAAAATAATAATAATTAAAAAAAACAAAACAACCAACCCTAGCGTCTGTCCAGATGATGATTAAGTGTCACCCCTGAGAGTTTTGTTTCCTGTGTGGGAGCCAGAACGAGCGAGAGACACACTCCTCCTCACGCTCCTCTGATCTGCAACTTCCAGCTCTGGGGCGAGGATGATTCAATTGGTCGCATTACTCTGCATGAAGTCTATTAGTGTTCCCGGAAGACAGAGGACAGAGGGAGGGGGCAAGAACAACACCTTGTTACAGTTCATTCAAAGAGCAGCCCGTCGCTGGTTGGTTCTCCACAGCTGCTGCCGCTGCTCGTCATTGGTCCAGATGATAACGCAGGGTTCATTATGAGCGGCGGTTGACCTGGGAATCGGAAACTGATTTGTCAATAAAGATAAGACCAGTAGGATTTCATTGATTAATTGAAACTCGTAATCTCCTCCTAATTGGTTAATAAATAACACAGATGCCGTGACACTTACTACGGAACTTATTTACACAGTGGGTTTTTAGTTTACAACAGAACCACATGACAGGAGGTTAAAAATCAGCCATGCCCTTTTGACCCCGGGGCAAAAATGTGTGTGTGTTTTTTTTTTTCTGTGCACATTTCAACTAAACCTGCGTTAAACACACACTACAGCAGCTCCGTACTGTGGGTTTACACCAGGGTCCAGACACGGATGGACAAAACCATTAACCCATGGTCTGGGCCTGGTTCACCCCTGGTAATCTACAGCCCAAAGTTTAAACATACATTTATTATATATATATACACAAACCCAAAATATAATACCACAAGTATTTGATCAATATTAGGTGTCATAAATGCCCCCCCCACCCGCCGCCCCCCAGGGGCTGCAGAGCTACTTCAAGGGAGCGTAAAAAAAAGGTCTTTCTACACCAGGGGAATCTGCAGAAAAAGTTTAGGAACCACTGGATTACTTCACTCAAAATGTGTTACATTAGTACTCCTGTGGTTCCAAGTATATATATATATTTTTTGCAAAATTCATCACAAAAAAAATCTGTAAAATTTCTTTGTGTTTGAGCAGCTAACTTGAGTATAAAATAAATTAGAACCTGATGGATGTCCAGGACAATAAACACATATTTCTATTGTCCTTTAATATTTGGTAACAGTGTGATTATGAAGCGGTTGTTGCTGTTGTGTAATTGTTGTATAATTAGCTCTTTAACAGCCCGTGGTTCCCTTCGTCTGATTGGATTAGAGGTGGATCTAAATCACAGACAGGCCGGTCGTGATTATGTGATCTCTGCCTGAAAAGTTATGGCTTCTTTTTGTTCAGTGTTCAGTTGGACGATTCCTATGCTATTAATGATTTTACATTAAAAAAAAAATCCTACAACTGCAGCTCCGTCACACTGATGTTTCTTCTTCCTTTTTTAAAATCTGGAATCATTTATAAGTCACATTCACACCTGGAGTGAACGTGCATCCTGAATTCATGTCCTGTGACCACATCAGATCCGATCCGACTTCCCCCGTCCTGTATCCAAACGCACCCTGACGTCATGTCTGTTTGCAAGAAAAATGTTGTTTTTAATGAGCCTGACTGTACAGATGTCTCTTTGCCTGTGTGTGTGTGTGTGTGTGTGTAAGCCGGTGTGAGTGGCAAAAAAGTCATAATCAGATTTTAACCCTCGCACAGCTGGCCACATGATAATCAGTGACGGTTCCACAAACAAAACACGTTGTGTTCCGTAAATCATTAAAACCCCCGGAGGCCCGAGGTGGGAACGCGGTCTCTAATCTGCTGTGACTGTGTGACATGTGTTCATACAGTACAAACCACAGAATGTTGCCACAGACCAATAAAAACCACCTCTGAATGTAATCTACTATGACCCGTTCTCAGCATGAACGCAGGATTTTTTTTAAATTTTCTTTTTTGTTTTTAAATCACCTGTTTCATCCTGACAGAGATTTCAACTGACGCCTGAACTCTTTGTAACAGGTCAATTTGAAACCTATTTTTTCGACCCGAGTCCCGCTGCAGACGCCTCGGCCACATTAGGTATTCAGTGACTGATTTCAGAGTATGAGTAGTCGAGAAAATGAAGCTGAAAAAAAACTAAACTCAAGGGGTCAAAGTGTCGAACGACCAAAAACACAAAATAACCCTAACCCTCTGGTCAACGTCTACACTTGTACAAACACGTTTGTAGAGATTTTTCCGTTCTAGGGAGACCTGCAGATGGACAAGCAGCCTACTGCTGTGAGCTGTTCTGTTCAAGGAAGTCTGGTCAAAAGAGCCACGAGTTGAACCTCAACATTGGGAGTGAGGACTTTACCAGGACCGTCAGGACAGAGAACCAGGACCGTCAGGACAGAGAACCACCAGACTGACAACAAGAACCGACATGTAAACCACAGGTGTCAAAGTCAAATTCACAGTGGGCCAAAATAGTCGCAGCCAAACTCAATATTTATTGAAAAATTGAAGTCAATTGTTCATGTTTTCCCTTCTTTCCAGATCTGTAATGTAGAATGTTTTCATAATGAAACAAACTTTAGTTTTGCATAAACATTGAATCTGGAACACACATGAGAAATTACATTTTGAATAAAACCCACATCAGTGGTATTTATTTCTTGTATGTCTCTCTGTATCTCTATCCTTTTGAGTTCCATTAAAATTTTCTTTTTTTTTCACAGGCAACAAAAGTTGCACACATCACTAATACTACAAATCCCACCAGTATATAGTGGTGGGCCAACTAATATACACATTTGAATAAATATAAATATAATCACACCAGGGGCCAGATTTGGCCCGCGGGCCTGAGTTTGACACCTGTGTTGTAAACTATGAAAACAAATCCCACGATCATGTTGTAAAACTGGATATTTTAATGCTTTAAAAGTGGATATTGTAAGATTCCCAGACTGTTTGGAGTTGCTCTTTGATTTCGTTTGGAAAGACTTAAAATCTGCCTCAGTTAATCACTGTGTAAACATCAGAACTGACTGTTGGTGGCGCTCAGTAGCTAAATAACAGATAAGCAGTCTTCTCATTTTTAATTTTTTTTTCCAAATTAATCTTCATCATCATCATCTTCACCAATATGGTTCTTTCAAATCCAGGGTTTACCTGAGGTCGTTCTGACCCAGTGGTTCTTTTAACCAAATTAGTCAGTGAGTGGGTGAGTGAGTGACAGCTCGTCTAGCCCCCTCTGGTGTCCTGCAGTGGTCTTACGACTTTAACTGTCAGAGCCTCAGCCATTGCGGTTGATTCAGTGTAATTTTCTCCTTCAACCTCTTTCATTAGTCTGAGGAATGAGTCGCGGGGCCTTCGACCTGCTGCTGGGAAAAGCGTCACCCTCCACTTTTCCACTGCCTCACTCGCCTTCGTTGCTTTTTTTCCTCCGGTGGTGCAAACTGTGCGAATGAGAAATCTTTCTGCCCACGGGAGGAGGAGGAAGAGGAGGAGGAGGATTTCACCGTTTCAAGGTCCAACACTTTAGAAAGTATGTGACGTTTTCTCTCTTTTTCTTCTCCCACAGCACTGATGGCCACAGCAGGTGAAGGTCGGGGTCACAACATAAAGGGCGGGGACCTTACTAAAGACCATTTTTTAAAACCAGTGTGACACATTACCAGAGGTAGAGGGCAGCACCACCTGGGGTAGTTCACAGCAGCCATTTGTCTTTGACCACTCTTCACCCTTGGACTGAATGTTCTCAAGGTGTTTAATCACCACAGTGAACTTCACCGTTGTTAATAACAATAAACTACACTGGTATAATTAACAGTGAACAAGTAATTAAACTCTAATCAACACAGCCGACCAGTTTGACTGTATTGCTAATGTTAACCATTCATCAGAAAATGTGATTGAAAAAAAACTGTCAGAAAATATACATATAATATACAATATGTAATATATAGACGTCAGTGTAACTACAGTACCTTCACCAGGTCCTCTAGCACCATCTACAGGTCAAACAAAAACTTGTTAAAAATTGTAAAACTTCCATGAAGTTCCATTAAATTGTACATATAGTATGTTTAAGAATATTGTAAAAAAAAAAATTCTCCATAATTATTAGTACTTTGAGAGTATTCATATACATACACTAATGAAACTAGTGAAAGTCATTTGGAGAATTTAATTTTTTTTTAGATAAACTCCATAAATCACTCTATTAAAACATCACTTCGACCCTTATAGAATCACTGGATTAAACCTTAAACTGTTGATGAGAAAAAAAAAAAAAACGCCGGTGAAATGAAGGATGTTTAAGCCGTCGTCCGTGTACAATCCTCTCATTCTTCCTCTCCTCTAATCTCTCTCCCACTCTTCCTCCCACTGTCACCGTGTACAGGTTTGTTGGATGGGTGCACAGCGGGGTCATATTTCAGGCTGCACTCTGGGAAATGACAGGCCACCTCAGCTTCATGAAAGCTTGATTGTTTTCCTCGGTGAAGCTGAGCGTGGGGAGTATGGGAGAATTTCTTCTCTCCTTCCTGTCTGACCTCATCCTCACCATCCTCCTGAAAACAGGTGCTCACTGAAAAAGCACAACACTGTCTCCTCTAAACCTTCCCTCCTTCCTTCACTCCTTCCTTCCGTCCAACTATTCTTCCTCGACATTTGTTTGCTTTTCGTGGAACCTCTGTGTGATTTAACCCCCGTGTGACTCAACCATTACAGTGAATAGCTCCCCATAAATACCAGTGCAACATAAGACCACCTCCACCCCCCGAGGGGCAAACACACCAGACTGCACTACACTACACTACACTACACTACACTACACACCAACAGGTCATAACTTGGGACAGAGTAGTGAAATAGGCATTCTTAAAACATTTGTTTTTAGTTATATGAACCTGGGGTGCTCAACCTCAGGTCCGCGGACCAGTGCGCGTCCATAGGTCATCGTCAAAGGTCATTCAGACCCTGATACTAACAGAAGAAAGTCTGAAAGATGTTTTTGTTACATTTTGAAAATGTAATGATCCTTCAACGATGGCTGACATCGTCCGACCGGTCCTTGAATTTGGGGATTTTAAGTTTTCGAGTCTGTAGGTGAAAAATGTGAAGAGGATCTAAAAATCATCTACTGAGAGCACGGTGACAAAGCAATAACCTGAATGTTTTTTTTTTTTCAGTTTGTCGCTCTACTTCCTCAGTCCACCACATACAGTAGAACACAGTATTACAAACACCGTGAACATTATGATCAAAATCTGAACAATGTAAATCAGCACTTATTCACGGCCTGATCCGTTCAGATTTAAAAAAAAAAAAAAAAAACTTTTGATGCTATACCTGAAATGAGACACCAGAGATGGACACTGGGTCTTCCTGTCTCCTGTCTCCTGTCTCAGTCCAGGACACAGTGTTTGACTCAGCACTTCCATTATCAAATCTCATCTGAGAGCAGCCTGGAATAATGTCTCTTCAGTGACGAACGACAAAAGGGTCCATCAGGTGGCGCCGTCGCCTCCCGACCGGACTTTAGATTCATTTCACTCCAAATGTGACAGTAAAAACTGAAAATATTTGAAATTTAAATGTAGAACTTTATCAAGAACAGCATTTTTTTTTTCAACAGTGAAGTCTCTTTTGCTTCATCTCGTGTTTGAGGGTTTTTTTTTTTTTCACTGACCCATGTGAGGACGTCTGCTGGGGGGCTCAGCTTACCTCTGTGCTCATGGAGATAAAGGAGGCTTTTGTGGGTTCTGGAGCCCCCCCCTCCTCCACCGTCTCTGTCTTTTTAGTCCCCATACAGTCACACGGCACAGCCACCACATCACTGGAGTAGACCAGAGTCCAAAGAAGAACAGTCCCACAGTAAATGAAGTACTGTCTCCGACTGTAACTGTGATACGTGTATAATGTACTCCGTGTGTTTCCAGGGCCGTCCTCCGTCACTATTGGACAAGTTCTTGCACTGGAAACTAACTTGACCAAAATCTATAAAAAAAAAAAATCAGTGCAGTTGTAGCTGTAGTAACGATATCAGCCAGATACAATAAATAAGATTATTTTAAAATATATTATTATCCACAATTATCAATAATCAATTTAGTTTAATTAGTTTACATTTTTTTCTTGACCATCTGTATTAAAATAATTACTTTATTCAATTCCCTTTTAATTCTTCATCCTTTTTTGGCCGTAGGAGGGAATAGGAATATCTGAAGGAAAACCCACGCAAACAGGCAGATCTGGCAACCTCCATACAAAAGACAACCAGTTCCTGCTGCCCCTCAGATGTCCGATCATCGTGCCGTCTGCCACAAATCACCCATTAATAAAATGAACACTTACAAATGTAAAAAAAGATAAACTAAAACACTACAGTAATTCATAAACATTCCTTGTTTTTGTTTGTCTCTTCGTCAGTGCCTCGGTGGCCAGGTTCAAAGTCTTGTTCTGCCGATCCTCCTCTGATGAAACGTCAGAACAGTTTGTATCCGTGACACAGCAGGTCTTCGCAGCAGCTGCTCACCGTCTTTTATTCCTGGAAATGATTTAATCTGACGGTGGATTTATTTTCCACTGACTCTGAAGGTTTTAAAAAAGGTTAAAGGTCTGATACGTCATGATCAGCTGTCTTACAGATGTCAACAGATTTTTTCTGGTTTATCATGTTGTTCAGGGGCTTTAATCATTCTCTAAAAATAACTTCAAATAAATGATGGGTAATATTCTGTATTTTTGTGTTCTTTTTAAATGATGGGTAATATTCTGTATTTTTTGTGTACTTTATAGTCTTGCCTCTTTAGATGAACACATCATTAATATACTCACAGGAATTGAAGAAAGACAAAGCATCTTTATCAACTCTGAGTCTTTTCTTTATGGTAGATTTGAACCTGAAACTGTGAAACGCAAACACACTTTAAAATTCATATTTTGTTTTTGTTCTCAAAATAATAGTTGTACAAAATATAATTAGACATAAATTAGATTGTTAGGATTAAACTCAAGGTTATTTAGTTAGTTAATAAAGAAGTTGAAAACAAGTTCCTCCTCCCCGTGGTTCCTACTTTCTCTGCTGCAGTAGAAGTAGAAACCTACATTTGTTTGGGCAGCACTGTGAAAAAAGCTGTTGAATTTGGCAAAGTTGTGGCAATTTTCTAGAAATACCTGTCCAGTTCTCGTCTCAAGGCGACCTCTACATGTTTAAATATGCTAACGTCCAGTTATACAGCGCCCCCTAGGCGTAAACCGTTATTCTTTTCTTTATTTTAATTATTATAAAAACCGTCAAACCGTTTTTTATTTGACTTGGTCCGAGTCATTGGTTAAACATAGACAACTGTGTACTGTGGACTGTGTTTTTTTTTTGTGTCAAGGGGAATAACGGCAGATGGGAATTGGCCCGGCAACACTAATGAGCTCCGCTGCTGGTTTTTGTTGAATTTCAACAACACTAAGGCAAAAAAAAAACAAAAAACTTCCGGCTGATCCCAGGTCTGCTGTGATCTGACTGACACCATCGACAAGATGCAGCAACAATGAGGGTCTCTCTGCCCGCCCACCCACTCACCTCAACAACAAAACACAACAAAGAGAAGAAAGTGCTTGATTGACAGCGGGTGTTTATAGGCCCCGCCCCCCGCAGCCGGAGGCAGAAACGAGAGAGAGAGAGAGAGAGAGAGAGAGAGAGAGAAAGAAGGAGTGAGGGACAACAGATCGGAGCAGGAGTCGGAACAGCGGTTCTGGGCGATGCTGTCCTCACTGTGGACATGGACCATTCTTTGAGTTTCTTCACCTCGTAAGTCCTCTCCACTGTCTGTCGTCTCTGTGTGTTTGTTGTTTGTATTTTATTTATTTATTAACATCTTTTCTAGCAGCCTCTCTCTCTCCCTCTCTCTCTCTCTCTCTCTTTTTACGCTCATTTCCGCTCGTTCGTACGGTTTTAACTTCTGCGTTTGTAGACAAATGCAAAATGATGCTACTACAACAGAACCGTTATTTGTCAGTTGATAAAAGTTTACTCCGTATATATATATATATATATTTACTGAATGAATGCATGTTGTCCATCTCCAAACTTTAAAAAAAAACACTATCTGTTAATGTTGATCATTTTACTTCTATTTATTTTTCCATCTATTTATTATCTTTAGGAAACAGATGTCAATCAGCAATGTTTAAGGAAACGTATGTCAAAAGTCCTCACTGTTTACAAACATAAATCCCTGCAGTACCACCTCCTCCCTGGCAGGTGGTCCTGTAACAAAAGATGGGAAAATCTCAGTCCGTTTGTCAGGGTTTGGTTTAAAATAAAAAAGGTTTAAATAGTCAAGAAATGATCCAGGAGATTTCTATAAGGGAGTGATGTGGGGGGGGGATCTGCATATAAACAATGCACCCCCCCGACCAACATGTTTCAGCTGGTGGTTAAATTCTTATCACTGGCTGAGGTGACAGTGTGGCTGCTGAGGTACGTTAGCCTGGAGCTGCCTTTGTTCTTGGAGGCTGTAAATGTTCAACAACACTATGGCAACACTGAGGGGCATTGGTTAAAAAAAAACAAACAAACAAACAAACAAAAAAAAAATACCCCAAATAACGTAGAATGTTGGGGGTTTCTGACACAGCTAGCATGTTTTGTTTAAAAATATGGCTAAGATAAGATAATTGGTAAATGGTAGCGTACTGTTTTAGCACTTTTCTGGTCTGCCTGTCCAATCACAGCCCTTTAAACTAGACGTTTTGCCACCGACCAACCAAAAAAATAAATCGCACAACTGCAGACAAGAAAGTTATTCTGAAACTTGAACCTTTTTTTCCTCCTCTTTGTGATAGTGTCATTATCGCAAAAACAAAAAAAAAAAACCTTGTTGTGTCCTGACCACATCTAAAAAAAACAAAAAAAAAAAACAAAATTCTGAAATTAATTAAATACCAAACATTCAATACCAAATGTCACATTGAAGTCGTAGATGTAGAATAACAGTGTAATTAATGATGAATATGATGATGTCGTCTGTATATACGCTAATTCATGCTAACTGTGGTAGTGGTGGCTCGGTGGTTAAGGAAACAGACTTGGGTCCAGAAGGTTTCAAGTTCAACTCCACCAGCTGCTTAGGTGCACTGAGCATAACCCCCCCCCCGCTCACTCTGGTGATATGTCAATTGCAGAAGTCACATTTGGTTGGTGTGCTGTGTCACAATGACACTGTCTCTTCAAGTCTGGTCACAAAGAAAAAAATGAAGGTTCGATGTCTTAATGTCACAGAAAAGAGATTTCAAAACAGGCAGGAATATTTAAAAACCAAAGCCAGCTGAATCTCAACGTGACAGAATTCTAGGAACAGTGAATGCTGGGAAACCTTTACTCCAGATTTACTCCACTCTTTTACACCAGAATCATGTCTTTCATAAACAGACTGTCGCTGTTACTTCACCATAGCATCCAAGGTGTGTGTGTGTGTGTGTGTGTGTGTGTGTGTGCAGCGATGGCTTCTCCATGTAGTGGCTTCACCAGTCAATGAGGCGTTAAACTTTACTCTGCAGATCAATGTCCAAAGTACTACGTTCAAACTTGACAGTACGTGTACGCTGCAGTACTTGACCACTCGTCTTATTTCCCTGAAAGGACTGACTGAGGTCTTATGACCTATGGGATCATAAAAAAAACAAAACAAAACATATATACATTTATAGTTCTCTACAGACCCTAGTGGTATGATGTTGCAAAGGTAATTAATAATAATTAACTTTGTGCTAGTTTAATTGCCCCTGCTTGTAACAAGATGAAGTTTGGAGTTTTAAATCTGTTATTTGTAAAAAAAAAACCTGCTCCCACTAGTATTTCCTAAGAACACAGCAATCACAATTACTGCAGAGCGTTGGGCAACCCGGCCCAAACTCACATTATCAGATGCAGACATGGAGCTACAGTAATTACTATCATGGCTGCACACATGCAGAACCTCCACATCAAACCTGTTTTCTCCTTCTTCCTGTATCGTTAGCAGGAAGGGATTAAAAGTGAGTGTTTGCTCGCTGACCCTCAACGTAATTTAGTTCCTCCTCAGGCCGACGCATTCTTTGAAGCAGTGATTCCCATTCACTCCAGTGTGACGTAAAAAAAAAAAAAAATCAAATTTCCCTTAATTAGGCTGAAAAACTATTATTTATTTATTGCGCATAATTTTTCTTTGCTCGTCCAAGCATGAAAGGCGGAACAATTAAATACTCTTCTGCTAGGTGGCAGCAGATAGCTATGAAAACTTAAAAAATAAAAAATAAAAATAATTAAAACTGTTGAAGAAGATCTTTGTGAGTGTCTTTCTTCAATTCCTGCCAGTATATCAGCGTTGTTGTCAACTAAACAGGCTGAGATTTTAGTCAATGATGAGGTTCTTTAAACTAGAAGATTATTAGTTTTTTTTGGTGGTGGGTTGTGGGCCAAAAAAAGGTTGGGAAACACTGTTTTAGAGGAAGTGAGGTATTTTGGGTGTAGTGACCTAAAATAAGTTTGGATCTGTGAAGGGTTAGGGTTCAAACCCAGACTGGTTCACATAGTTCAACTGGACTCAGACCGTCTTTTTCAAAAATAATTAGGGGTAATTCCATCTAAAAACAACACTTCTGTGAGGAAGTGTGTCATAGGTAGGGGAAGTGTGGAACATCCCAGCAGCTTCGTAGTCAAATGGGCCAAAGGTAGTTGAAACACTATGTCATGCATGAGTTATTATCATCCTGAAAATACTTCCCTACAAAAGGAGAAGGCAGCTTTTTTTTGTTTATTTTTTTCTGTGTGTGAAGTGTTTATGCACATCCACAGAAAAGAACATTCGAGGTGAAAAAGACCTGAAGCTAAGGGTCAAAATCAGCATCTGCTACTAAAGTCGGCCACCGCACTGCTGATACAGTATCCAGGTTCCTGGCTGTGTGAAATGTTAGCCTATCGGCGTCAGATTTCAGGCTGCTGATGAGATCTGATTAGTGTAACAGTAGTCCGGGGTTTGTTATGTTAGTTGGCTTTGTTTAGCTGTGGTCCAGTTGAAGGTCAGACAGAGCTGCAGTCTCAGCCTTCAAGGTTTATTTTTCCATGTGTTTTGAGAATATGTACCATAATGTCCATCAGCAGAGATGATTTCAGGAGGATTTGGAAATAATTATTCACAATGGGCCGAATTTAAAAACTGGGACAAATTTGCGGCCAAACTTAGATTTTTCATGTTTTCCCTTCTCTCCAAATTTTTCATATGGAAACAAGCTTAATATTATAAACACAAAAATTAAATTACAAAATAAAACACACATCAGTTTCTTATTATGTCTCTTTATCTTTATCTCTTACATTTGATATGACTATGTGGGCCAAATATCTAATAATATAATTACACTGAGGGCCAGATTTGGCCCCCAGGCCTGAGGTTGACACGTGTGTTGCAGTGAAAGTCAGAAATCTACCTGTTTTATGTCGACTGTAAAAATGTAGACAACCTAATTAGCTTAAGGCTATGATGCATACTGTGAGTAAGGCAGATAATGTAGTAACAGATTTTTGTGGTCAAACTTATTTTCTGACACTGACACATTGTTCTTTCCAAGGCCGTCTTTAATCTTCCAGAATGACACAATGAAAAGCATCAAGTCTCTCTCAGACCAAGTCATTGCCGCATTGTTGATCTGTCATCTGGTACAACTCAAACACATCGCCCTCGTACCAGACTGGAGCCTTTTTTAGAAACAGACTGGGTTCACACTGATCTGCATTCAGTCTGGTGCGGCGTTCGTCTCCGCGCCGGCCCACCGCTGGCAGGGCAGATGCCTGGAATTCTCAGTAAAGACAGATTTGCTCACCTGCAGCCACCTTCTCACGAGCACGTCGAGTAAAAGTTTGTGAAGGCAGCAAATCAGGGTGTGGAGGAGGGGCAGTCTGGCCTCCAGATGTGTGCTGTCGCCTGGGGATACCTGTGGCTTCTCCCCTCTTATTAAACTCTCTGCCAGTCCCACAGCTGGCTGAAACCCGATCGCGCCGTTTTGCAGATTTAGGTTTCCGAAGGAATGTGACACAAGATCCATCATCATATGATGGAGTCTCACGTTTACCCCGTCCTGTAACAGCAATATCGTTCTGTGACGCACGATCCCACATTTTATACCCAGGGCAGGAAATGGTCGGACAGAACTCTGCTTATCTTTCCAGGTCATCTTACTAGCTAGCATTAGCTCATCGCTCAGTTTCCAACCTAAAATCAATAACCCAGCAGCTCCTCAGTGATGTCCTCATCTCTTTGGAAAAATGTGGTCATTTCCAGAGCATCCAGATCACCGTCCATCCATCTGGAACAAATACATTAGTATTAAATAAAAAAAAACCCACACATTTTGTGGTTATTTACTGAAACGCTAAGAACGCTACCATGTGTAGGAATTCTTAATGGGACTCAAATATTTATATCCACCTACAAGTCTCCATATATTTCTGCATAATTAGATGCTGTGAGTCCAGAAACAACAGTGGATCAAATACACTTTAGGTACCAAAAAAAATAAATAAAAAAAATCCTAAATATGTTTTTTTTCAAGATGACGCTAAACATATTAGAAAACATGACTGCACATTTTCTCTCATGTTTTCGTGTCATTACATGAAGCAGAGCAGAAACGCTGCTGGGCTGATTGCATTATTTTTTCTCCCTGTCAAACATTCAGCAAAAAAACCAACCATTCAACGTGGATCAGGCTGACTTTTTCATGCCAGTCTTACAAAGCAATCAAAAGTTGTGTATATACTTGTGGATTTTATTTTATTGTTGCAACTAGTGGAAAACTTCACATCATTCCTGGTTGTGCCAGCGTGCAGGTTTTTACTGCCAAAAAAAAAAAAGAGGAAACACTGTCGAAAAAAAAGAGAAAATAACTTAGTCGGCTGTGTTTTCCAAACGTTTAAAAATATAAACACAAAATCAATCAGTAACTTGAGGTCCGATACTTATCTTGATGTAAAAATCTAAAAAAAAGCAATACTACCACAAATGAATACAGGCGAGTACCTAAAATGAAGTACCAGGTCTAAAAAGACGGTTGGTGTTCCACACATACATGTGTTCCATTAATTAAAACAAATTACAGAGGAATGAGGTCCTGCGACGTCAGTACCTGCTGTGGCACGTTCCTGGGTAACAAGGCCAAGAGTGAGTTAGGGATAAATTTAAATCCTACTTTAGTACTTCAGATTCAAGGTGGGGCAGAAAATTAAAATAGGTTCAGTAGGATTCACGGTCCAGATCGGCCTCATCTGACAGGAGAGTGATGTCACATGACTAACCCTCAACTAACGTCCAAGTGAGAGAAACGTGCTGTTTAACCTGAGCTGTTGATTTTTTTTTTTTTTTACAACTACAATTAAACACGTACATGTGCCGTAATGATTTTTTTATATTGCTGTAATAACACAACCCTAAGCTGGACTGGCCAGGAATTCATTCACGTGAGGCTGTTTGCCCCCCCTCCTCCTGCCCACCCCTCAGGCTTTAACCTCCCTTATAGCTGCAGGCTACACCCCCCATCATCGCTGCTGCCCTAAGACCACGCCCCCCCCACTCCAGACACATACAGCCCCCGTGTGGTCGGTGGTTGTACCCCTTGGCAGTTCCTTGGTGTCTTTCATCTTTCTGCAGATAGAACGGCAGTTCCTTGGTGTCTTTCATCTTTCCGCAGATCGAACAGGGCTGTGAACTGGCAGGAATTTGGCGATGCGATACAGGGGCCTCCAGGGCTGTGAACTGGCAGGAATCTGGCGGTACGATACGTATCGCGATACAGGAGCCTAAATACGATACTTTGCGATATATTGCGATACTATAGGCACGGTGAAATATTGAGTTTTTCCTCCCGGATACTTTGCGAGTCCCAGTGTGATCCTAGTCTCAGACCCTGTTCCATCTGAACATCAGTTCCTAACACTGGAACAGAGGGATCTACATTTGGAATCACTAGAGAAGAAAGAAAAGAAAAAGAACCAACACCAGGAATATTGGACTGGGAATTGGGGAGAAAAAAAATGATACAGTGCTGTAGAATATCGACAAGGTATCAGCCAATCAGACAGAGAGAGTATGTTTTTAAAAAATGCTGTCCTTTGATGTCATTCTTCAGTCACACCCACCAGGTCTGATATCAGTTTTTGTCCTAAAACATTTCGCAGATATTTCAGTGAACAGTGAACAGAGCCACACAGCTGTTCATTTTTGTTTCAAAGCCGTACTTGATCCATCTGGTTTTGATAGCTACGGACCTACAGTACGTGAAAGCTGTTTTTATTTAAAATAACTCCGTGGGCTCACCAAGTCCAAATGTGTTCTCCGTTCTGCTTCTATTTCACTAGAAACGGATTAGAACCTAATGATGTCCTTTGATGTCCACTGGTGTTGGTGCTGGATGTTAGAGCAGCCTTTGATACGAGAGATCATAGATCGAGGACTTAAAGGCCTTCACAGTCGGTACCTGTCGTTGGGATTCTTCTCTGACAGACCGGGGTTTCTCTGTGTTCCTGGTCCATGCAGAGGTGAACCTCAGGGTTCAGATCTTGGGTCCAGTCCATTGGACCTTTTCTCTCTCTCCGCCTTTTATGTTAAATTCAGCTGCTGTCTAATATCACGTTGCTATCACAGGACTTGACGTAGCCTGGAGTTTCTTCTCACAAGCAGAGAAAATGGATTCACTTTGAAAAACCAAAATCATTTGTTTTTTTCTTTTTCTATCACTTCTCCAAAGCACACTGGAATGAAAACAAACTTTGGCGCAGTCCTATGAAAACTTGCTCCAAGCTCTTGAACGATCTTCCATTAGACACACAGTCTTTTGACTCCGTGCTGGCAGAGACGTCGGAGACGATGTCGGCTCCGTAGTCACGTCCAATCACATTCTGGCGCCAACCACAGCCTTCTGGTGAGCGAACAAGCCACTCCGCCTCCCGAGCCACAACTTAGCCATGTCTAATTTATTTTCCATCTGGAACTGTGGTTGTCGGTTGTTGCTAGGTTGTATTTATAGAAACCGCTGACTCGGCTAAAACATCAAACCGTCAGACAGTGTGTATGAGGCCGTGGTGTAGAAACAGACGTGGACGGTAAATGTCAGCGGCCGCACCATTCTCACCCAGTTGTGAAAATGAACTCTGGCGTCGGTGTTTTATTAGTTTCAGCTCAGTGGATCAAACTCTGTGATACCCAAATTGCTGTGATAAATCTGGTGCTGTGATCGTGACCGTTCCCCAGGTCATTGTTGAACTTTATTGACGTGGAACAAAAATATGACCGTGGTACTTTTTCTGCCTCTCTGTATTGTTGTTTTATTAGTACCAACCACAGTCCTGTCCTCGTCCTAACCACAGTGGTTGCTATGGGCAGATTTTTTATTTTTTTTAGATTATTTTAACTTCCATTAGAGCTGCAGGAACAAGAAACAGAAAAACAAAAAATAAACATTGAATTAAGTTTTATTACGTTCACTGGAACAGCATGCAGCCAGTTCTGAATTGCAATAATTAGAAGAGTATTTGTTGGCCAGACACAGTCAGCAGAGGCCACGGGGTTTTTTTTTTTTTTTTTTTTTTTTATGAGCCAGTTGAAATGGAAAAATCATTTTGTCAGGGGTTGATATATTGTTTCTCCCACAGGCAGCTGGATTGCAGGGAAGAGTTGTGATTGGACGGTTGCTGTGTGTTCTATCATCACAATGAAAGTGTTACAAACCATCTTTAGCCGCGGTCACACGACCTTTTCACTCCTATTTCCTGCCTTTTAGGCCCAGGAACTCCTATCTTTTTTAGCAAACATTTCCAGTTAAGCTGGAACATTTTTTCGTACTTTTTTTTTTACTATTTTGCATTTGATTTTTTCAAACTGTTATATCTGTCTGTGCTTTAAGACAACGTTCGTTCGTTTGTTTTTCCCTCTGCAGGTGTGTGAGGAGAGGACTGTGCTACAGGCGTCAGTCTCTGTGGGTCCTGCTCCTCCTGCTGGTGGTCTGTCTTGCTATTCAGACATTCGTCGCTCGTCAGGCGAGGTACATCTATCGCCAATATCGCTAATCTGTCGATGTCCGATAATATCGGTCTGATATTAGCATAACTATGTAATATCTTTAAGAATCGTTATCGGTTTTTCCTCCAATAATCAAAACCCGATAACGCAATGCCTGCGTTTTGCCAAATGATGCCTTAAAAATAGTTTTAAGGAAAAAAACGGCTGTATATGAAGGTGAAAGCCACTAGATGGCGGTGACCTTAAAACTGTTGTTATAAGAACCTCTCACAACATCTGAACCCATAGGTGGAGCTCTTCCAGCTCCCTGTTGTTTGATAGACGTGTTCCCTAGAACAGGGGACAGGGAGACAGAGACAGGCCGTCGCACGTCTGACTCACTGAGCCAATCATTGATCTGAGTGTTGTCCTGATAATATCGGTCTGATATTAGCATAACAAATATGTATCATAAATGTGTTCTTGAAGGAACATTCTGTGAGATTTGTCACTGACTCTGATTTCTTCCAGTAGTGACCGACCGACCAGGCTGCCACTCCTGAGGTTCACGGTCAACAAACAGCAGCTGTTTCCTACCATCATTCCTGGAGATGACGATGCTGAGTTCTCCCTTCAAGTCCAGCAGGACGTGAGATCAGAACCCACTGGAAGCAGTTTGAACCGTCACCCTGAGAATGCAGGACGTGCAGAGTCGTCTGATAATATTTTACGGACCAGTGATTCTGGCTCTGATACGAAGGAAGGCAAAGTTCCCTCTCAGAAGTTTCTGTCGGAGAAGCAGAGGAACAACGCCGCCGCTGGACTCACCACTGACGAGACTTTAATTAGACCCAGAAACAGAAGGCCAGCCAACACCTCCACGCTGCTCAGCTTCATCAACAACGCCAACTCAGAAACCACTTGCCGACCAAAGTCGCACATCGTCTTCCTCAAGACTCACAAGACGGCCAGCAGCACCATCCTCAACATCTTATATCGCTATGGTGAACGCAGGAATTTGACCTTTGCCCTGCCCTTGGACAAACACAGTCAGTTGTTTTATCCTTTCTTCTTTGCGTCACACTTCGTGGAAGGCTTCAGCAGCAGGAGAGTGAAGGAGTTCAACATCATGTGCAACCACATGAGGTTCAAGAAATACGAGGTGAGCTGTGTTTCAGGAGGACGTGGGCGTCGGAGGTGCGGGTTAGAGCCTCACCGCTCTGCCTTCAAATAATTTTAAAGTTTTTAAAACCCTGGTTCACTTCCTGGCTCACTGCACCAAAGCATTATGCAACAGGATGTGTTGCACCAATCGCTGAACTCATTAGGATTTGTATCAATTTTTGGTTCTGCCCATGAGTTTCTGACATTTTCCCAGGTTTGAAGTCATAATTACCAGATATGTTGACCAGATGAAATTATGAAATTCAGAGGCTGAAGAAAGGATCTGTAAACCATCACTCTACAAAACCATGTTGGGCCAACGTGGTTCTGATCAAGGCCTGACCTATTCTCAGATTCTTTGAAGTTGGGGGTGGACTTTGTCTTTCACTGGTTCTTTCTTCTTTGAGGTGATAAATCATAGAAATGCTTTTGTTTAAAGAAAAAAACAATAATCTCGAAGCAGATGTTTGACTGTTCCACTGTAGAGGATCTGGTCCTGATTCTCAGCCCTAACAGTTAAACTGAGCTTCATTTGACATGTTTGACATTCTGTTTGTCCCCACTTTAATAACGATGATGACAAAGTACACAGACTTCATGAATAGTTCCTAAAATCACAGGCCCTTTCAGTTCAACTCCCCCAGTGTGGGGTAAGACAGTTCAACACTGAGATATTATTTTCCTGTATTTTATTATTTCTATTATTTCTGTGATTGTTAATATGGTACATAGTACTACACAAGCAGTTACATTTGTATTTGTTTACTTTTCTAAAGTAGTATTTGAGTATTTTCTGAAGTGTATTTCAGCATACAGCATAATACATGCATATATTTCAATCTTAAAACTATATGAAAACAATATAGGTATTTCAAAAATAAACATATTTGATTCCATAAATTGCGGCTAAAATGTTTAAATGTATTTCACATATTAAAGAGTTAAAGTTCAAACTTAGCTCTGATTATTCTCAGCCCTACAGGTTTCTACGATGCCTCTTCCATAACAAATGTCATTTCTCATGTTATTTTTTCCAGGTGGCCAAAGTGATGCCCGGCGACTCCTTCTACTTCTCTGTGCTGAGAAACCCCGTGGCGATGATGGAGTCCATCTTCACCTACTACAAGAGCATACAAGCCTTTCACAAAACCAACAGCTTGGACGACTTCCTAAAAACCAGCTGGAGAAACTACAACTCGTCGGTCACCAACAACCACTACGCCCACAACATCCTGGCCTTTGACTTCGGTTTCGACAACAATGTCGCTGCTGACGCCGCGGACTTCGAGGACAGAGTCAGCAGGGTGATCGCGGCCATCGAACGGGATTTCCACCTCATTCTTATTTCTGAATATTTCGACGAGTCCATGATCTTGCTCAAGCACGCCCTCTGCTGGTCGCTGGAGGACGTGGTGTCTTTCAAACTCAACAGTCGCAGCGAAAGAACTCGCCGCCAACTTTCCTCAGACACGGTGGAGGAAATCAAAAAATGGAACGCTCTGGACTGGAGGATTTACCAGCATTTCAACAACACTTTCTGGTACAAGGTGAACAGCTTGGTGGGCGACGAGCAGATGACGAGGGAAGTCTCTCAGTTAAGAGAGCTTCAGGACGAGCTCGCGAACACCTGCCTGAAAGATGGCCGGGCCGTAGAGCCGTCTCAGATCAAAGACGCTGCACTGAAGCCGTTCCAGTACGGAGCGGCTGTGATTCAGGGCTACAACCTGAACCCACATATAGACCAACAGACCAGGGCCAGATGTGAGAGGCTCATTACCCCAGAACTGCAGTACACAGAACGCCTGTACACGCAGCAGTTCCCTGAGCTGGCTGCCAAACAAAGACGAGCCACCAGGAAGATTCCTTCGCGGCACCAGCGTTCAAATAGAAGTGAAATAATGGGCCTGGCGTTGGCGAAGGAAGCCTTTCAGAAACTGTTTGTTAGAAGAAAATTCTTCAATCTGAAAAACCAGGAGGTTTCCAAAGGTTCCCCGCCAGCAGCTGACAACAGAAGAAGAATATGAAGAAGACTTACTTCAGTGTGGGAAATTATAGTAGAATAATAACAGATTTCACCTGAACCCCTGCAGGGGGCGCTCTTAGCAGAGTTCAAATGCCATTGTCCATGTGCTTTTTTTCTTGTTTTATAGGAATAATCAATCACTACGTTTGTCACAAAAGGTTGAAAAAAAAATGTTTCGGAGATGAGTAACGACCACTACGTTTGTCACAAAAGGTTGAAAAATGTTTCGGAGATGAGTAACGACTAAAAAGGTTAGGAGAAATACAACTCTTCGACTTAGAGTTAAATCAAAATATGTTCTGTTTCTGCCAGACATTTTTCTTAAGGGCAAATCTGAACACCATAGTTGTTGGAAGAAACATAAATAAATGTTTTTTTTTAACCACTAGAGGTTTTGTCTTCCCCGCCCCGAAATAAACCCCCCAAAAAACAAACAAGGATGGATTCAGTCCATGTCCTGTGTTGTTTTTGATTTTCATTTCTAGAAAATTCTCCATCAACAACACTGTCTCTGTCCACTGTAGTTTAACTCTGTACCACAGTCTCAGGCCACAGATGAAGCTCCTCACACTGGAATGAAGGTAAATCTAAAAAGGTTTTATTTAAAAACACTAAATGTTTCATGTTATGAAAACCCACTGAGATCAGAATGATTCCTGATGAAGACGGACGAACGCTTCCTCTGCCGTTCCATGAAGACCAAAACAAAGTTTTTGTTTTTTTTACTAGAATTTGACACTTTTACTCCTTTCGACCTTTTCAAAGAAATGTATTTTCTTACCTTCAACAAGGTTTGTTAGCTTTAAGAACTGGTGTATAAAATTAATGATTTTTTTTAGGTGATAGGTTTTGCTTTGTTAATATAGCAAATGGTGATAAAAAAATGTGTGAAATAAAATTATTTATTTATTAAACTTGATCTTCTGGAGTTGTTTCTCACTTAATTTGGGTTCTATTGTTTAAATAAAACTGTTGATGATTTGTATATGTGTATATATGTATATATATATATTTGGTTAAGAATAGTCAGGTAAAAAAACAACGTGTAATTTACCACCAGGTGTCACTAAATACAACTTTTAATCATTGGTTACAACATAATTCTGTCACTTTCTATGAGCAGATTATCTATTAACAGAAAAGAGAAAATAATCTGAGAAATTATTTGCCAACATGAGGACACATGTTGTTAAGATTATTTGCCAACATGAGGACACATGTTAAAATACAAACAATGACCTCCTTGACCTTTCCTTTTACGACTTCATCATCGCCTCTATTACTTCAACGACCTCTTAATGTTTGTTACAGTTCATTATGTTGCCGCTAGAGGGCACTGTTTGCATTCCAATCAAGGTCAATGACGCTCAGTTGCATATATTGTGAGTTGCAGGGTGGGTTTTTTTTTTTTCCTGAACAGGGCTAATCCAAAGACAGGGAGGAAGTGGGGTAAACAGCATAATCTCAGTGTTACCCAGTCTGAGTCTGAGTCCGAGTCCAATACACGCTGCCATTATATTCATGCACATGGCTGCAGCCCATCCTGCTGTTCTATCATGCAGATGCACACACACGGTCCACAGAGTGAGTGGCTGCTGTTGCTAACCTCCCAGCCCAGCAGCAGGAAAGATGACATTTGGAATGCAGTAGGAATACACATGCACATGTGGTGATATTATTCTGGAGACAAGAAAAAAAACAAAAATAAAAAACCACACAGTCTGTGTGTGTGTTTCCCCTGGTAGGAGGCTTTTTTTATTTTTTGGGTTTTTTATGTATTTATTTAATTCTTGAGATTAAAAACACAAAAGCAGCAAAACAGCCTTCAGATTCTGTGGGGGGAATTTTGTGTTTTTTTACACAAACACCTACACAAACAAAAAGAGCAGACACAGAGGAGGTTGGGAGTGGGAGTCAATTATCAGGGGAAAAAACACACACATTCACAGGTAAGAGTGTTGTGTATTGTGTTTTTTTTTTTTTTTGCTAAAACACAATCGCCTCATTTGTTTCTCCAGTCTTTTACTTTTTGTAATTCTGATTTTTGTGATTCCATCAGCAGCTCCTGCTCAAACCAACAAAACACAGATTTAAAAAACAAAACAAAACATGAGCCACACAATATAAACCACCGACACCTGCAGTCAAAACACACATCTTTCCCCCCAGAACGCCATCAGACCCGCAGCGTCTGCCGTTGGTTCGAGGACATTTATGCTGTCTGAACGTCGCAGGCGAAGCTGCAGCCAATCTGTGCTGACGACTGCGTGGTGTGTGTGGTGGTGCACACACCTGTGGCGGCTGATTACTGACCCACATGTCCACCAGGAAACAACTTAGTGATAATTAACCTAATCCTCAAATTCTTCTCAAATGAAGGAAACTGCAGACATAGGAAAAGAAAAAGTCCCAATCATGTTAGGATGTCATGTAACTTCTAACCTGTTTAAACCCAGGCCACCAACCTGTGACATCACTGCAGTGAAAAAAAAAACAAAACAAAGAATTGAGTCATTTGAATCAGTGTCTTTTACTAACACGGATTTCAAATCAATACAGCAACGCCAAAAAGGAAGCAGGAGTCATAAATTAGACCTTTGATTTAAGAAGAAGAGAAGGACGTAATGAAGCTGTTTTTATAATTATGAAAATTTAAATATAGCTTTTTATGTCCCTACTGGCACTTCACAGCCTTTCTTTCAGGTTTGCAATTACCTTAATTGTGCTCATGTTTATACGGTGCATCTAAATGCAGCAATTAATCTGTCACAAATCTCAAAGCTGCCAGAGGCAATTTAGTTTTAATGTAGAGCCGTTCAGAATGCCCCTCGCTCAGACAGTTGGTTAGCATTTTTTTGCAGCGTGAATTTACAGGAAGTTGTATAAGGACAACAATATAAACTGTAAAATAAAAAAAAAACTGCTTATAAATTGGTTTGGAAAACTCTCTCAGTGTCAGTGTCGGTGTAATGAAGACGTTTACAAGACCTGGTTCTGGATGCTTCCGTCATTCCTCCGACTCCTGGTGTTCCCCAAGGCGCTGTTCTAGGACTGGTTTTTATGATTTATTTCTCCTTTATTTGTCCATTTTATTTTATTTTATTTTTTTTCTCTTTGCAGATGTTCCTTAATGTGTGTTTTCATCACTGTTCAATAATATTATTATTAGGGATGTCCGATATTATCGGCCCGATATTAGCATATTAGGTAATAGCTGTAAGAATCGTTATCGGTTTTTCCTCCGATAATGAAAACCCTCATAACGCAATGCCTGTGTTTCACCAAATGAAAATAGTTTTGGGGAAAAACGGCTGTATATGAAGGTGAAAGCCACTAGATGGCAGCATTGCAGCTCATTTTATTAAATGCATACTCATGCAGAGGTTTGTATAGATAAATAATTAAATATTACCAGGCCTGCATCGGTTATCGGTTGATATCGTAGTCGGAAATTAAATGTTTGGACAATATCGGATATCGGTAAAAACTCTAAATATTACTGTTTTCCTTTGACCAGACTTGATGTCTAACAGCCATACAAAGGGGTTGGATAAAATATTACTGTTTTCCTTTGACCAGACACTTGATGTCTAACTGCCATACAAAGGGGTTGAATAGAGATGTGTGTGTGTGTGTGTGTGTGTGTGTGTGGAACACCTCTGTTCTGAAGTGTTCCAGAACACGAACAGACGGCTGTTTGTTCAGACACCATCAGCCCTGGTGTCCATTACAAATCAAAATGACCTCAGGTCCGCCGCTCAGGAACGGGCGGCAGATAAGTGGGAAGATCTACGTAGGTGGGCAGAGTGAGTGATGGGTCGACCTGCCGACTTGTCAACCTGCTGGCCATTTGACACCTGAGGAGATAAAGAGTGGACGGGCAGCAGGGCTGAGGGATATTGCAGCTGTCTGGTGTGTGTGTGTGTGCGGAGCAGCACTGCAGTGAATATTGACAGAAAATGGAATCAGATGAAGAGCGATGATAACGGACAGGCCACAGTGTAGGATGCTGCAAATAGAAAAACACAACACGCTTTCATAAGAACTTTATCTGCTCTGAAATGAGTCTGGAAAGAAAATGTGTAGGAAATGTGAGGAGTCGTAAAACCAGGAGGATGTTATGAGGCGCACAGTCGTCCGTGTTTAGAAAAAAAAAAAAAAAAAAAAAAAATCATTGCTGATGCACATACTCCACAAGCTTCATATTCCAGATGTTAACTTCTAGATCAGGGGTGTCATGGGTTCACGATGCCACAAGTGGAGCCGGACCAGTGACATCATCACCAGTGCAATCATAATAATAATAACTATAAATAACTCCATGTTTTTCCCCTTTGTTTTCATGTAAACACATACAAGTACATTAGATATATTATTATTATTTATTCATTTTTAATGTAATTTTTTTTAAAAATATCCTGAACTTGAAGTGAATTCATCAAGCGGGCCGGACTGAACTGCCAAGCGGGCTGATTTTGGCCCCTGGGCCGTATGTTTGACACCCCTGGTTCTGGAAGGTTCTGCTGAGCAATTTGATTGATGCAGATTTGAAAAAAAATTTATCAGGTCTCAGTCCACATACAGACAGGTTTTATCATAGTATTTCTGTGGTTTTGGGCTGTAATTAGCAGTCAAACAATTTTAGTAATTAATAATAATAATAATAATAATAATAATTTGAACTTTGATTGATCCCATATTTGGGAAATTCTTGTGCTAACATCAGATCTGGCCCTGGCAGACGCCAAGCACGTGGTTCCCGTAGGAATTGAACCCAGGACTCAGTGCTTGTGAGGCAGGCATGCTAACCGCTACACCAACTATGGAACCAACTAACTTGACATTAGTGTTGCCAGACTGGGTTTGGCTAACCCTCCCTGACCCTCCCTGACCCCCCCTTCACCCCCTCCACCTGAGATGGCTGCACCTCCATCGTTCATCGTCCTGATCCACGGCCGTGTGAATCCAACCCGTTGTCGTCGCCGTCTGTGCTGTAACTAAACCAAAACACGTCGTCTTTGTTCAACCAAACCATAAAACAGGAAAAAAGGAGCAACAATATTCTGTTCCCCTGGGAGTGAACCAGCTTTAACCAATCTCTGCTTCTCAGCCAAACGGGAGCAAAAACACAGAGTAGTGGAAGGTCACGGTTTAACCTTCCAGCGATGATAACATCTGAGACGACCAAAGATGGCGTCTCGTCGGCCTCATGTACCGCAGATGCTGTTTGAACAGTCCGACTCCGGTCGCCACGTCTGAAGCTGTTTCTATTTGTTTTCCTAAATTGGAAACAGAATGAAAGAGCAACTGCCTGATGATGAAGTAACAGACAGAGACTCCGACACTTTAACTTCTCGCCCGGCTTCGTCTTCCCTCCCTCCTTCGTTTGATCGTGATGACAAACATAATCAGCAGTGATGAAAAACACACAGTGATTTTTTTTGTTCTTGTTTTCACACACACACACACACACAGAGTCATTTTTCACAGCGACACTGAGTGCTTCGCTACTTTTCCTTCATAATAAGAGCGTGGCGTTTTTAAATTCTTCAGCCTTCCTCTCCCTCGGGCGTCCTCTCTCGGCATCTGCTCTCATTCTTTCACATCAACCGCATTGATTTCGGCAGCAAAACAAATCATCTTTTCTGATAGAAATGTTAACTTGACAGCTTTACTTCTGCAGCAGAGAGAATAAAACATCCATTATCCTTTCATTAAGACGGGGAGGTGAGAGAGCGTGGTTGTAAAGGATGCCGTACAGAGGTGTTAAGTAGAAAATCCAGATTTTAATTGGAAAGAACGACATTTTGACTCGACTAAAATCTCTTTTTTTTTGCTGTGTGAAATACATTTAACTTCCTTAACATCATTTTCATAGCTGCTCTGTTTGTGTTGTTGAGGTCAAAAACATTAGAC